CTATGTGGTGCAACAAAAGAGGCACCACACCTGATGTTTTTTCGGGGAACATTCCTGCAGCCACTCGTCCCACTCATGCGTCGATGCTGCGTCGAACGTCCGTCGACTCGAACCGAGCGTTAGCTGGCCTTGAGCTAGAGTGCGATTAGAATCGGACTAGATCCGAGCAAGCACCGAATAGATCCGTCAGGTGGGCCCCAGAAAGGACCCCAGAACGAATATCGAAACCACAGGCCCCAACCGCAAGGCACAATGGCCGCGGGGCACCGACCCATCAGGCGCCAACGCGTATATGGTACCACGACGCGAACGGCCAACTATACGATCCCCAAGGTGGGAGACGGCCCGGGTGTCTGAGCTGGATGGGCCCCGAGAGCATCGGTCAAAAGTGAGGGTGGGGGGATAAATCTGGTCAAAATCCATCCCCAGACACACCAGATCCAATGTTTAACGGTCCTGCCCCGAATGCCCCCGATTCTATACATACAAAACCCCCCCCGGCCTGGCGACAGGGACCTTCGCCTGCCGCCGCCCCCGCTGGCAATGGATCCGGCGCGCAATTGAACGTAACTGACGCCAGGTAAACCCCGCCGGCACTCGCCAGGCGCGCGCCCACCGTTCGGGCGAGAGTACCGCTCCCAATTCGCCAGCTTTACAAGATTGCTACTTCCACTTCCCAGCTGCAAGGACGATGCCTTTTCTCTATGGGGACGAAAGCGGGAAGGCGGGGCCACGGCAAATCAGGAGCAACGAGACTGCCAGCTGCTCCCGGCGACAGCCGCACGCCTCCAAAGTCACTGCCCAGAGCCCCCTGATAAAATCGCGCAGTCGAACAATGGCAAGGGAGGAGCGGGAGGGGAGGCTGGAGCGAGATGGCCACGATCGCCAATCAAGTGCGGCAACTTCGCCGCGTGACGCAACACACACACACACACACGCACACACACACACACACTTACTTGTAACAATAATCAGCGACTTCCGCTTCCCAGCTGCCAGGACGATTTTTTTTTTATGGGGACGAGCGCGGGAGGGCGAGGCCACGGCAAATCAGAAGCAAGGAGACTCAGAGCTGCTCCCGGCGATAGCCGCACGCCTTCAAAGCCACTGCCCAAAGCCACCCGAATCCCGCAGGGCAGACCTGGCCGCGTCAGCTGGCCGAGAACGACTTACGCACGTATTATGTGCCCTACATTGGCCTTGCAAGAACTCAAGGGAAATCCCGTGCGTCACCCCCGAAAGTCGTCAAACAAGAAATGTTTTGCAACATTCTGCAGCGGCGAAGGGGCAAACGCCTGCCAACGCGAAGGCACCGACCATCACAGCAAGACGAACTTATGCAAAAGTGCTGTTTTGCGAGACAGAAGGGGTGACGCACGGGAAAACAATGTGTTTAGCAGCGCGCGCGCTGGCCGAAATCAACGGAATGTGTAAGAGCAGCATTCATCATCCATTCTTCTCTGAGCGCATTGGCTGAATGTGTCATGGCAGAGGCGGCCGCGCGAGCGAACTGAGGCGAGTGCGCCGCGGCAAGTTCTGCAAGGCGAGCTGGACCTTAGACGATGAGATGAGGTAGGCCAGACGACGACCAGATGTCGCTCTTGTCAATGCAACCCCATACATACAGTTGGAATAACACCTGCGTTCCAGCTGGCCACCGAGGTGGGCATCTTGTAAGGCGTGCCGAACTGGCGCATGTCCCTCTTGTGGACCCTGCAAGATTCGTGAGGGAGCAGCTTACTCATTTCCGGAGCATGCCAGAGCAGCGAACCCCGACGGTTCTCTAAAAAGACAGGGCAGCCAATCTGAATGCAAAGCTGGACGAGCCGGCAAGACACATGGAACGAACGGCAACCTGAGCGGAGGCGCTGCAAACGAGATCCAAACAGGCCACGCTCACCCGATGGAAAAGCTTGAAGCGCAATGGATCCCTCGGCGCCTGCGACCACGACGCGCAGGGCGCACCGTGCTACAGGCCCACGACGGCCTGGCTAAGCAGCCACCCTCGGACAACCGACTCGAAGGTGGAGTTGAGGTGATCCTCGGCAGCACCGCGCGCACTGTCCAAATCTAGGCAGCCATAGCCAATGTCCCGGATGCGCTGGGAGATGCGGCCCCGCCCTGCGAACAAGTCGAGGAACAGGCAGCTCCTCCACTTGTCAGCGGCCGCGCGGCAGCGGCGATATCGCCGCCGCAGGTGCAGCCTCACGCCCGCCGGCGACGCGGTCAGCGCTGGCGGGCGCGCCTGGTTTCGGGGGCAGCGGGCCCTCCCTGCAAGCGGAGCCGAAGGGGCTGAAGCAGCAGGCTGGCGACCGGCGGCAGACCTGGCCGCCCCGCCGAACGTCCAGGAAGTTGTGCTCCACGACCTCCCCGAAGCGCAGCACGTCGGGGTCCACCTTCGCCGCCTCCCTCAAAAGGCGCGTCTCCTTGACGCGCCGGCGGAGGGAGGCCTGCGTAACCCAGCGGCCCCGCCGCATCGCCTGCTCTGGGGTCCTGGCGCCCGACAGCAGGTCTTCGCTGGCCCCCCCATGGCGGGGGGGGGCACACGTGGGGCCGCAGGTGCATCAAGCCCAGGGCATGACAGGCGTCGACAAAGAGCCGAGCAATCGACGTAGGCTGGAAATCCCAAAAAGGCGCCAGCGCATTCACAATCCTCAGCGCCTCCAGGGCGGGCTCGAGCCAGGGCGCCCGGTCCAGAGGTTGGTTTTCCAAGCCAGCTGAAGGTCCGAGTCGTGCAGCAGCAGGCCCCGCGGGGTCGGCGCCTGGCCAAGGTGGGCCGAGGGCGGCGCAAAGTGACGGCCCGCCAGCCGAAAGGCCTCCTGCGGACGGAGGTAGAACGCGAACGACACCATCAGGAACAGGCCCATGCGGGGTTGCCCTATGCCGCAAGCGCCCCCGCGATGGCGAAGGCAGCGCGGCGCGGGAGAGGCAGCCGCGTCCTGACGGGCACCCGCCAGCGCCGGCCCGCCACGCAGCGCGTCGCCCGCTGCAAGGCCTGCGCCGTCCTCTTGCGCAGCGCCGGCGTGTAGTGCGCCGGCGCAGCCAGCAGCACCGAGCCCTCGTTGGGGGCCCAGCCCTTGAAGTGCAGCGAGTTTATGTGCGTGACCAGCGCGAGGTCCATCCCCGCCTAGTCCGCCCAGTCGGTCGACGTCAGGAGGCAGAACTGGAGGAAGGCTCGGAGGTGCACCTGATGGTGGCGCTCCGTGCCCGGCCTGATCGCGGTCCGCCCCAGCACCGACAGGCCGCCCGAAGCGCCCCGCGCCGCCGCCACCTGCCGCGCAGCTGCGTCCCTCCGCTGGCGGTCCGCCACGCGGCGGGAGGCCCTTGCGCCCGCCATCGACTCCCGCCGCAGCCGAGGGAGGCCACGAGGTCGGCGGCCGCCGATGCGGCCCCGTGAACCCGCCAAGACGGCCACGGGACAGGGAGTCGGCGGGATTGAACTAGCCGCAGGTCCATCGGACGTGAATGGAGCAGTTACAACACAGTGCCATGCAACAAAGTTTCCCGAGAGTACGGCGCAAATGAATAGATGCAGCTCTGCCTTTGCAACACCCCAGGGCCAAAGGCATGTTGGCAACGAATGTCAGGATGTGTTTCCCGAAAGCGGCTCTGGACCGCCTAAAGTAGATTGGATCTATGAGTCCAAAAATATCTACTTTCAACGACAGTCGTGCCCGACCTTCCGCGGGCAACTTACGCGCCAAAGTCGGTGAAGACGAACCCGTTTTCTGCGACGCTTATCCGTTTTCGTCAGGGTACTACCAGTGTCTTCGCTCCGCGCGCTGCGCGGTGACTTCCAGCGGCCGTTGAAGAAGCTGCTGCGTTCAGGGTGCTCTGGATTCCCCCCCTCACCGTTTGCATCTCGCGCGCGGGATTTCATGGCCCCTACGGCTGGTTCGCGTCGCGATGTCGCGCGGGCGTGGGTTTCTGACGGCTAGTGGATCGTTCGTTCAACTTTGAACGATCGCGGCTTTGGAATATTGCAGATCTGTCGATCTCGGCCGATTCGGGGCCACTGGCGGCGTTCAAGCTGGAACGCCTGAGCTGGCGTCGCCGCCGCGCTGCCGTAAGTCCTAAGTTAGAGAGCAGAACGATCACCCTCATAATAAGCACCCCGACCAGCGAAGCCGTTGAGCCATCGCGCCCAAGGAACGAACCGAACAGGACAGGGCTGGTAGTAACACCCAGGGCCGTTCAGCAAGCGTCAATTACGGGGGGCGGGGTGTCTTCTTGGGAGAAAAGCATCACATGGATATAGAGCAGAGATGGACGATCGCTGGACGCCAATATTGGCATGCCTGCAGAGGCGCCAGGCAAAACAATCCAAGGATGCAAGGACAGACCAAGGTCTGTGGAGCTCTCATGATTCCCCGATCTTTTCGGACGTCCATGCAGGTCTCTGGAGTTCCCCGCAGGCCTCTGGAGGCCCAGGAACAAACGTGCCCATCCTCGAGCAATGACATGAACACGACAGCTCGGAAGTCCGCGCAGATTTCTTGGATCGGCGCTGGAGCCCTCTGGCAGCGCCTCCGGCGCCGCCCCTTAGCGCGCTCCGCGCACAAGGCAGGGGAGTCCCGCGCCGACGCGAGAGATCCACGCGGACCTCCGAGCTCCTGGGCTCGTGCCAGTGCCCGTCCCCCGACGGAGGGCTCGGGGCTCTGAGAGGCTGCCCCTCCCCTTGGTGGTCTCCAAACCAGGTGGTGAGACACCCGGTGGTGACCCCGATTCTTCTCAAAGATAATTCTGGGTCACCACCGGGTTTGGGGACACGCGGTCGCCACGAGGTTTTGCGTTTCCTGGGCCAGCCAGCGCTCGAAAACCATTACCCAAATCGCCCAAAACTCACCACCGGGTGTTCTCACCACCACGTTTGGGGACCACCAATCCCCGTCCTCGCCGCCATCGCCATCGCCATCGCCATCGGGGCAGGGGGCACGGCGAGGAGTGCTTGGCGCTCCTCCCGAGGTGCCCTCGGGGCTCCGACCCCCCGCCGCGAGAACCGCAGCGTGAACCGCTCCCCCTCGTAGAGGGTCCCGGCGGCTGCGCGCGGCGCGCGGCGGCGCAACCCGCTCCGCTTCGCGCGCGCGCCCCCGCCCCCCTGCGGCCGCTCGCCTGTCGGGGACGTCCCGAGAGGGGGGGGCTCCTCGGCCCTCTGAGACTTATCAGAAGGCCCGCCCCGCCTCACTCCTCCCCCCCGGGCTCGCCGCCGAGAAGGGGTGGGGGCAACGCACAGGAGGCCAAACCAACCTTCTCGGAGCCCTCCGGCTCCCTGGCTTCCCAGACTGCCATACCTTCCCTCTGGGGCCCCCAAGGGGCCTTCCAGAGGGTTCTCGGAAGCAGGGAGGCCCGAAAAAGGCAAGAAGGGATCTACACAAACTATCAATCTTCAATGCAGGGAATCTGTCGACCCGTATCCCAGGCTTCGTAGGGTTTTCGAGTGGACCATAAATTTTCGACCCAACCCTGGGATATACGAGGGGGGCGTCCATCCTCGTTGGGGGTGCGTCCGAGTAGCGCCCATGGGGGGTATATCCCAGGATTTCTCTCCGTTCCTGGGCGGCTCTATTTTTCGGCGAAAAGCCGGGGGATGGGATAGAACTACCGCCTGCGACAGCAGCAGATCATGGCCGGAGGCACGTGCGCGGACGAGGGGGCAGACCCAGCGGGCGCTTTTGGGGGGGTCGCTGCGCCCCCCCCCCCCAAGCCTGCCCCAGCCTGCTCCCTTCCCCCCGGACGGTGCCCCTGCTGCGAGAACCGCCAGGGGAACCGCTGCCACTCGCAGAGGGTCCTGGCGGCTGCTCGGCCCGTTTGCCGCGCGGCGGTGCGCGAAGCGGCGCCCTCGCGGCCGCTCGGCCGCCGGGAGCATCCAAGAGCGGGGTTCGCTGGAGGGGAAGAAGACGGGACGGGGAGCACGCCCAAGGCTGATCTCGGAAAAGTCGTGTTCATCTTGGTCAGCGCCTATCTTTCGGGGGCCGAGCAATGACATAAACATAAACACTCGGAGGTCCGCGCGGGTTTCTCGGATCCGCGCTGGACCCCCCCCCCGGCGGCGCCTCCAGCGCCGCCCCCTGCGCGCTCCGCGCGCCAGGGAGAGGGGTCCAGCGCCGATCCAAGAAATCCGCGCGGGCCTCCGAGTTCTTCTGTTTATGTCATTCCTCGCTCCCCTAATCTTGGTCGGCGTCGATTCGTGTACCATCCCTCGAGTCGAGCACGGACTGCTGCTGGCAAGGACAAGGACCAATGATGGGCCTGTTTTCCACCACCACCACCACCACAAGTTCGAGGGGAAGGGGGTCCTCCTCCTCCTCCTCCTCCTCCTCGTTCTCTTCCTCGACCTCCTCCTCCTCCTCCTCCTCCTCCTCCTCGTCTTCCTCATCCTTCCCCCATCCAACTTATAGTGGTGGTGGTGGTGGTGGAAAACAGGCCCACCGACCAAGGGTGGTGTTCGAGAGATCCCGCGACAGCTTGGCCACAGTCCCCGAACTGCTTTCCTCGATTCGAAGATCATTTCCTCAAGCACGTGCGAGCTAGGAGGGCACGGACAAATGTACGGGGCGAGCCAGGAGGAGAGGAGGAGGAGGAGGAGGAGGAGGAGGAGGAGGAGGAGAGGAGGAGAAGGCCGAGGAGGAGGAGAGGAGAAGGCCGAGGAGGAGGACGAGGAGGAGGAGGAGGAGGAGAAAGACATGTTTTTTGACATTCGCTTCAGGGGAACGATCAGAGACAGCAGAAACGATTAGGTCAGCAACCGACCCTCGGACAGTGCCGAAGCGTTGCCATCCCATTCGGCTCAAGCAGGCCCGCCCCAGGAGGGAGAGAGGGAGGGAGGAGAGAGGGAAGGAAGGGAAGAGACTACCCATCTAGGGTTAAAAGGGGCGTTGTCCAGTGCTTCTACTGGGCCCCTAATTGAGAAACCTTCCCAAGTCCACCCCACTTCCTCCCAATCCCAGCCTAACCGACCCCTGGACGCCAACCTGCAGGTTTGGACTTTCTTGCATGGGCTAAGCCATGGCAGGACAAGCCAGAGGAGGGAGATTGCCTGCGCATCCTCCCTTGGGTGCCAACCTCGGCTGCAGCTGTTGAGGAGGAGGAGAAAGAGGGGGAGGAGGAGGAGGAGGAGGAGGAGGAGGAGGAGGAGGAGAGATGAGGAGGAGGAGGGAGGAGAAGGAGGAGGAGGAGGAGGAGGAGGCGAAGGAGGAGGAGCATGGGGGTCATGCGAACCAGGAGGGCGCGCTGAAAGTGGAAGGGCGTACCATGAAGCCTGGAGTGACATCATGCACCCCCCCCCCCACAATTGAAATCGATGATAGGAATGAGTACCCTTCCCAAGGGTGCCCCGGCATCCTTGCCTCTTCAATGTCCAGCCCCGCTCGAAGAGCTTCGACGTGGGCGCAGAAGTGGCGTGCATCCTTACCCCGGACAAGTCTTTCGAACCCCCGCAACTGGGGGTGACGAAATGGTTTTCCTGCGGCCTTATTGAAGGACTGGAGTCCCACTGATAGGGGATAACACATCATGTTTTCCCGCGGGACCCGCCGCGCAACAAGAGGACGAGGAGGACGAGGAGGAGGAGGAGGAGGAGGAGGAGAACGAGGAGGAGAACGAGGGGGAGGAAAGGAGGAGGAGGATGAGGAGGAGGACGAAGAGGAGGAGGAAGGAGGACGAGGGGGAGGAGGTTTTAGGATCAGTCCTATTCACCGCCAAGAGGGGAGGGGGGGACCGAAACTATCGACCTTTCGCGGTTACAGCGCATCCTTACTATCAACTTTGACTGTAGTCAGCACCCCCGTCTCGGCCGCCCCTGAGCCCTGCCACCTCCTCTGGGGAGCCCTCGGAGACCCGAGGCGCACTGGAGCCCGTTCGGACCGACCCCCGCCTCCGCTTGGTTCCAGGCGGTGGTCCAGGCTGAGGGGGGGCGGACAAAGTTATGCTTACTAAAACAAGGAACGTTGGCAACGCCAGGAATCCGCCGGAGTCCCTTGTGAGGGCAATCAGGCTTCCAGCATCCGGCTTAAGCAACCCGCAACCGAGAAGAGCCCAGTCTCAACATAGCAATGAGGCAGCTTGCCACGATGCAATACTAGAGGTCAGGAAATCCACCCCGATAATAACCACCCCGACACGCGAAGCCGTTTAGTAAACGCACCCAAACAAGGAATCAAACAGGGCAGGGCTGTTCAACAAACGCCCAGGGCCGTTTAGGAAACGCCCATTGTCCCGTCCGGGTGGTTTTTCCTCCCTTGAAATACCGTGAGGAGAACAGCAGCTTGGGGGCTTAGACTTCCCAGTCTCCACTTTTCAAAGCACAGCACTGACCCTCGAAGAAAACATTGGCCTCCCTTGGTGGACACTCCCGCGGCTCCCGATTCGCCCTCCCTTCGTGTGCGGTGGATGCCTCTCATTATTTCGCTGCAGGACAGCCTCGAAGTGTTAGGCGCAGGCTGTCCAATGGAGAAACAGAAAGATACCGACGCCGCCACTCCTCGGACCTCTCCCGGGGTACCTTCTGACCAGAATCTCACCAGCCCTCTGCGCGTGAGTGGTTTGAAGAGTTTCCTCTTCCAACCCCCTTCACCACCTTCGGGGAGGGGGGTATCTCTGTTCTTTATTACTATAAACTCCCTCCCCTAAGCGACCCGCAGCCAACCAGGACCAATGAGGGCCCCCCCCGCCATCCCTCTCAAAAAATCAGCGTACAGTCCACGTTGGAGCAAAATCTTGGGTCCCGATCGGGGGGGTCGCGAGCACTTTACATTTTGATGTGGACGGCGGGGGTACCGGCATATTGCCTGCTGCGCGCAGGTCAATATTCCCTGTCAATAAAATTAGCCTGGCGAAGGACCCAACCATATGCAGTTGTGAATACCGTCGTTGTGAGTATCGCATTCGGTGGTACTCTCTATGGGCCAAGAAACGCTGTCCTGGGTGGGGAAGACGCATGCGAACTGTGCCACTGGGACTTCGGTGGGGCTCCTTATGGGGCTACGAAACGCTGTCCTGGGTGCGGGAGACGCATGTGGCCCCCCCCACTGGGGCCTTCGGTGGAGCTCCCTGTGGGGCCACGAGACGCTGTCCTGGGCGTGGGAGCCGCATGGCCCCCCCCCCCCTCCCACTGGAGCCTTCGGTGGAGCTCCCTATGAGGCCACGAAGCGCTGGGGCCTTCGGTGGAGTTCCCTATGGGGCCACGAAGCGCTGTCCTGGGCGCCCCCCCCGCTGGGGCCTTCGGTGGAGCTCCTTATGGGACCACGAAACGCTGTCCTGGGCGTAGGAGCCGCATGTGGCCCCCCCCACTGGGGCCTTCGGTGGAGCTCTCTATGGGGCCGTGAAACGCTGTCCTGGGCGTGGGGGACGCATGTGCCCCCCCCCCCCCCCACTGGGGCCTTCGGTGGAGCTCCCTATGCGGCCACGAAACGTTGTCCTGGGCGTGGGGGACGCATGTGGCACCCCCTCTGGAGCCTTCGGTGGGGCTCCCTATGAGGCCACGAAGCGCTGGGGCCTTCGGTGGAGCTCCCTATGGGGCCACGAAGCGCTGTCCTGGGCGTGGGGACGCATGTGGCCCCCCCGCTGGGGCCTTCGGTGGAGCTCCTTATGGGGCCACGAAACGCTGTCCTGGGCGTGGGGGACGCATGTGGCCCCCCCCACTGGGGCCTTCGGTGGAGCTCCCTGTGGGGCCACGCAACGTTGTCCTGGGCGTGGGAGCCGCATGTGCCCCCCCCCCCCACACTGGAGCCTTCGGTGGAGCTCCCTATGAGGCCACGAAGCGCTGGGGCCTTCGGTGGAGTTCCCTATGGGGCCACGAACCGCTGTCCTGGGCGTGGGGACGCATGTGCCCCCCCCGCTGGGGCCTTCGGTGGAGCTCCTTATGGGGCCACGAAACGCTGTCCTGGGCGTGGGAGCCGCATGTGCCCCCCCCCACTGGGGCCTTCGGTGGAGCTCCCTATGGGGCCATGAAACGCTGTCCTGGGCGTGGGGGACGCATGTGCCCCCCCCACTGGGGCCTTCGGTGGAGCTCCCTATGGGGCCACGAAACGAATCAGCCATGG